CTTGTACTCAGTCTTGAAAAAACTGGTATCGGGACACCCCTAATCTTTATATATGTATGGGTATGTGTATATTTTTATATATGCCCTCCATGTATTTATCCATTTATTTTTCAGGTGAGCGGACAGATGTTGGGTGTGTGGTCCTGTGTTTTGTTGGTGTTTATTTAATATACTTCTAATCTCTATTTCAATCTTTCTAAAATGGAACCATCATGGTCTGTCCTGTGCAGAATGACTAAACACTAAATTATTTCTTTACTAAAACCTCTGTAACTTTGCTCCAGTTCATTTTAGCAGCGTGAATCTTTGCTCAGGTGATGTCCACAGGTGGATTTATGGTTTCCAAGAGTTTTTAGTCTGATTCATTATGGTTTTAAATGGGTTATATACTGTTTAATGAAAAAATTATTCAGGTGAGAGAGAGGAAAAAAAACATTTTCCATCCCCAATATGTCTAAAACCACAGCAGCTGTTTTAATACTGACACTTCTGATGAAATCTACCAACACTGAGGTGCAGTTTGATTTACACTGAGTAGCTCAGAGCTCCTTTAAATATACAATAAATACCACTCAGATTAAATTAAATATGATTTAAATTCTATTCAGCACAGCATCATGTATTAGTAACAAACAGGGGAGAACATTATGGGGTGAGCTTATTAAAACAGCTAGGAAACTCCAGGGAGGTCTGAACTCTTTCATTCTGAAAAAACAAAGATTGTCCCTGTAACAATAAATCATTTAATGAAACTATATTTTAATACAAATGAAATAAACAGAAAGCATATCTACCATTCATGTAGGCAAACAGTACTGGTTCCCTCCAGCTGTAGCAGGGTTTGTGCAGGAGGCTGTCTGAGCTGACAGCTCCTCTTTACTACACTGCTGAGAAACTCCACTTGCCATTCCAGAGAACAGTGTTTAATCTCCCAAGTGTGAGTTTCATCTTCGTTATTTAATTAAATCTACATTTGCTCTGAAAAAAAACTCCCCTTTTATTGTTCCCACATTAATGAAACAAGAGAAAAATAACAACAAATGGGACAAAATCCTGTTTAAACCTGTTGGTTCTGCATTTCTTTTGTCATTTTTATACAAGAAAGTTTGTGTTTTTCTGCTCGACTGATGATTTTAGATAACAGTGGTAGTTTAAGAAGGATTGCAGCTGAGCTACTTTACTGGATGGCAGCACGTGATGCTCCCTTTAAAGATGTGAAAATTACTCAGCATGTAAAGCCACCATATTAACGTATACAGATGGAAAAAAGACTAAAATCCAGAGTGTCCCTCACTTTGTCAATGAATTCTAAAAATTATGATTATTGTTATTATTTTAATATTTTTAAAAAGTTTGCATTTCATTCAAATCAATACAATTTCACAGTTTGAATTTGAATATAAAGACTTTTAGCTGTAGGTGACAGAAAGTGCAGGAGAAATAATGAGGTGGAACTTTGTGATCTAAATAATACATTTAATTAGTTCTGCTCACTACCTTTTTTTTCTATAAATAACAATATAAAATAAACTACTTAGGTTTGTATAAGCTGCAATATATTACTTCTGGAACATTTGCCGTCTTAAAATACAAAAGATTCATTTTTGCAACATTTATAGACGTGACTCCAAACAAAGAGGCTGTCCTTTTGAAGTTTTCTTTTTGAAAAAAAAAACAAAACTATAAAGACAGTCATGTAAAATTCACGTATCTTACATGTCACGTAAGATCATTAAAAAATATAAATATTCCTCTCTGACAGTCATTATGTTGTGCTTTAACTTCTTTATTCCCAAGGGGTTTTCTAGATGTTTTTTCTCTAAATCCCATGCTGAAATGTAACTGAGTGTATCTCAGCATTTATAAATTCTACTTAAATAATCTTGGTATCAAAATAAAGCTAACAGTTGTTATAGTTCAGCCTCAGAGCAGGATAACAGCAGCCGTGGTCAACAAACCCTTTGTTTCAGCTTCTATTGTTGTAAAATCAACACCAGCTCCAGTTTTGAAGGGAACCACATCACTTTCCTTCTCAACCTTGTTTTCTTTCAGTGCGTAAACTTGCCCCCAACGAGTTCCCCCACAAACTGTATGTCCAGAACTATACCTCAGCCGTCCCTGGGACCTGCCTTACTCTGCACAAGTGGCTCTTCACCACAGACGAAGAGGTTCTGCTCAGTGACAACCAGCTGGCTGTCAGCTACTTCTTTCACCAGGTGTGCACATGCAGGACGTCTGGCTGCTTTTTGTTCATCTCATTATGTCTTTATTTCTGTCGTCGCATGATTTACCAAGAATGCAGAAACACGTTGGAATAATGCACAGAAAGTCGCGTGTATGGTGGTCAATAATAATTTGATTCTGAGCGACAAACAGACAGAACTCAATCAGGAGACTCTGTCGGCTGATTAAATTATTATTGACCACCATACACGCAGACTTTCTGTGCATTATTCCAACGTGTTTCTGCATTCTTGATAAATCCTGCCAACAACGCCAATTTCCATTCTTCTGTTTGCAGGCCCTTGATGATGTGAAGAAAGGCTTCATCAAAGTTGAGGAGAAGTCTTATCAGCTGCAGAAGCTGGCAGAGCAGAAGAAGATGTCCATGGTTAGTCCCAAACTTGTTGTTGGTTTTCTATTGGTTTAATTTGAAGGTGGGCGGGATCATTTGTGGCAAATCGGCCAATCCAAACCTCGTGAAACGTCCAGTTTACCCCTTTCAGAATAAAAGCATTTCTTTTAAGTTGGTCAAACACTTTCTCTACCAAATTTTATTTGCAGTCATTTTTTATATTCTTTTTTAAATATGTGACCCGTCACATCAAAACGAGGATTGAGTCTAAAAGTGGGATATGGAGAAATAATCAAATATAGAGTTTTGATTAAAACATTTGCAAAAAGTGCATTTTGTCAAAACATAATGAATATTTTTTATTATTTAGAAATGTATTCATTTTAC